GGTACAGAAGAGGACATAGAATACCTTTTACCGAAAAAAAAAAACAGAACCATTCCTGTTTCTCGATGTAAATCCGAAAATATAAACTCACCAATACTCATGCCTCATGTGTGTAAGTATAAAATACCTACCCGGAATTTTTCGTGTGGGTACAACTACTCATCTAGCTACCTACGTTATCTGATGTGATGATCAGACATCTGTTCTAAGATTAATGTACAAATTGCATTGAAATAATTGCAGTGTGAATATTTACGCAAACATCAATCTATCAAACCATGTACAAAATTTTATAGGTGCCTATTGCTAGTAACTTATGTTGTAATTTGCTATTATTATTCAACGATAGTGAAATATTTAATGAAGCGTAAGAAGTTGTATAATCTGAAATTGTAGTTACATATTTGTTTTTTTTTGTAAATGATCTTTTTACGAAGATGATTGTGTGTGACCGTTTATGTACTAGTATAGCTTATTTTAATTGTGTTTCTAAATTATTCGTATAGAATCAGTCACTATTGTCCGAAGTATACGAAATAGGTCTCGATTTGAATGGTAATTTTCACTTACATTATTTTGGAAACGTACAATTGCTTCATTTAATTTTTAAGGTATCTACCTGGTATGGTTAAAAAAGTGCTTTCGATTTTCTACTTTTAATGATTTTATCGGTTTGTGTATTATCATTATAATTTATAATGGAAAAATTGAAGATTAATTTTTGAAATGAATTCATACCTATTATGCTCATTGTTAGAATGTTTAATCGGAATATGCTTGTGATTCTGAGGTGCACTTCATCCTTCATAAGTCTTTACTCAAATTTAGATAATGGCAGGTTTCAATTATATTTACAATTCTCTGATTTGTAACCCATTAATAAACGCATGCACATTTTTTTATTCTAATAGGTTAATTTTGTATATTTTTCATTAACATCGTCAGTATTAAAAAACTAAGAGATATACATATATCGAACATATTCATCATCATCATCAAAAGGTCGTCAGTCCTAAGACTGGTAGTACACGCACCTCCTCTCCTTTCTATCCTGAGCTAATCTTCGCATTTCCCTAGAACTAGAACATCTTCCATCCTTAACTATTTGTGAACAGTAATCTAATCTAGGTCTATCCCTCTTAATTCCTGTTTCTTCCTCTAATATGTCTCTGACTAGACCGTCATGCCTGAGAAGGTGTCCTATCAACCCATCTCGCCTATTTTTTATTGATTTCCATAAAGTCCTCTGTTCTCCTATTCTCTCTAATATCTCTTCATTTCTAATCTTTTTATTCTTCATCATTCGCCTGTAAAACCACATTTCGAACGCTTCTAACCTTTTATTTTCCGCCGCGCCCACCGTTCATGTTTGGCTCCGCCGCGCTCCAAATACACCTTTAACAATCTTTTTCGAATTTCTAAATTAATCGTTCGCGAGCATAGAAGTGACTTTCTTTTATTGAAGGCGACTTGACCCTGCGCTATCCTTTGTTTTATATCCCTACTACATCTTCCGACTTATTTGATTTCCTAGATGCCTAAAATCTACCAGTTCTTCTAATCTTTCGTCTCCTATCTTTATATTCGCTCTTTCTCTACTTTTACTTCCCTTGCATACTACTATTTTCGTTTACTTAATTTTATTTAAAGCTATCTCTAACTCCTCCTTGGTAGATGCTAACCTAAGCATACTAATCTTTTGCCCCTGTATATCTAATGATGTTGATCGCGTCTTCGATGTATAGATTAAAAAGTAGCGGAGGCAGTGTGTACCCTTGTCTGACCCCCTTGCTAATGTATACTTCTCTATGTTGCTGCTCCATCTTGATAACTGCTTGTTGCTCTTTATACAAACGAAATATCACCCTTATATCTCTGTAAGTCATCCCTACATTTTTAAGTATATTTAATATCTTGTCCCATTTAACATTATTAAAAGCTTTTTCTAAATCTACAAATCCTATATACGCACTCTTTCTTTTTTCTTTTATTGTTACCCGTAAAGCTAGAAGCCTCCCCTGTCCCTCTATTTCTTCTAAATCCAAATTGGTCTTCCCCTAATAGTTCTTCCGCCCTTTTTTCCTCTGTATAATTTTAGTTAAGATTTTTGACGCATGGGAAGTTAAGGTAATTGTTCTAAATGTCTTGCACCTACCAGCGCCTCTCTTTTTAAGTACAGTTACTACCTCGTTCCGTGTATAATCCTCTGTGATTTTCCCCGTCTTGTAAATGTGACTAGCTTAACCATACGATCAGTAACTTCTCCATGTTTTAGAATTTCCGTCTGTATCCCATCTATACCTGGCGCCTTATTATTCTTTAAGTTTTTTAATGCTACATCGAACTTTTCTCTTAATATGGGATAACCAAAATCATCTATGTCTACACCATCTTCTTTCTTAAGTATATCTACAGAACATTTAACTAATAAAAATAAGGTGCGTCCCGAATTGAAACAAATTAAGAAAAATAGTTCTACCGCCAGCCGCGAATATAAACAGTTGCACGGATGGTTGGGTGTCTTTTGAATATTTCNGATTTTCCCCGTCTTGTAAATGTGACTAGCTTAAACATACGATCACTAACTTCTTGTCCTCCATGTTTTAGAATTTTCGTCTGTATCCCATCTATACCTGGCGCCTTATTATTCTTTAAGTTTTTTAATGCTACTTCGAACTTTTCTCTTAATATGGGATAACCTAGCTCATCTGTGTCTACACCATCTTCTTTCTTAAGTATATCTACAGAACATTTAACTAATAAAAATAAGGTGCGTCCCGAATTGAAACAAATTAAGAAAAATAGTTCTACCGCCAGCCGCGAATATAAACAGTTGCACGGATGGTTGGGTGTCTTTTGAATATTTCCCGTCTTCTACAAATACAAAAAAAAGTGTAAATGATGTAAAATAAAGTGGTGAAGGTTCTTTTCAAAAAAGCTTTAAGATATAATTCATTGGAAGTGTACAAAACTACGGGTTTGAAAACAATTAAACAATTGTTACAAATCGAAAATTATAAACGACCAACTCTATAATCAGATAAGAAGCATGTAGAACATACATGTGTCACACAGCCGTACAAATAAACAGTCTAAAAAATCCGTTAACTTTGACAATTAGAACTTTCAATTAACTACCGCCGGCACGGGAATAAAAAAAAACTTAAAATGTATTATTAATTGTATTATTATTTTATTATCCAGGTTAGTTATAAATAATTACCCGTTATCATTGTTGTAGGTATGATCATATGTAAATAAATAGTTAATAGTATGTATTGTACCCGTCCCCAGTCTAACGAACGCTGATTAGAGTTTAATAATAATGAATAAACAATATTCAACGAAATTAACGATAAAAGGTAGAAATGTAATGGATATAGATATAGTAATAATAAATGCAATAGCTTTTACTGTTTCTGGTGTGCAATTGTGAACATAAAACTGGCAAATTTATGAAAATTGACCAGGAATTTCTAATCAATTTAAATTTTCAGTGCACGATAATACTAAAATCACTAATTGTAAAAAACTAACGTATCTAAGGTCTTACTTATCAGAGGAAGCTGCAAGGTCAATTGAATCATTAAGTAACTGAAATGAATTACAATATTGCATTATCTATCCCCGAAAAACGATATAGGTAATTAACCAACCATAATCGTAGCAAATCACACAAGGGCATTGTTCGAAATTGCAACAGTAACTAACCCTAACCATCGATATTTACGTGAACTTAAAAGCACTTAAGCAACCTTCTGAAGACACGATATTACTTCATCTTTCAACATTAAAAATTGATAATGATACAGTACAGTACTAAGGTGGAATGAAATTCACAAACGTTGTTATTAATTATTGTTACTAGTATTTCAAATAACAGGTCAGCCGCATACGTATCGACAATAAATCATAATCTAAGTTATATACAGAAAAAATGTCAAGCAAATGAATTCTTATTAATTAGTTAATAATCACCATGCCACAAATTTAATTATTCGTGAGGCTCATCTACCGTAAAAAATTTAGGTACCAACATAGTGGTGTTCAAGTGACTTCAGCATTTATTCAACAAATAATTGATTAAACAAACAATTAAAAATGCGTAATTTGTCTTCCCGCTAAACCGACAATAACGGAATATATCACGGGTTGAGCGTTGCCTAAAAATGAAATTACAATTAAGGACCATTTTTGCACACTGACATTGACTATTGCGGTCCTTTTTTTGTCAAAGAAAGGCATTTTGAACATCGTGGACAAGTGAAAGTACATAGATAGCTGTCATCGTCTGTCTTGTAACCAAAGTTGTACACGTTGAAGTAGTTAGTGATCTAATTACTGAAACCTTTTTAGCCACTTTGCACAGACTTTTTACACGTAGAGGTAGATCGAGCGTTGTATATTCAGACAAGGTAAAAACTTTGTTGGAGCTAATGATGCAATTAGAGAATTATATAAATTAATAACTAAAAATTACAATTCCAAAGTCATTAATGATTTCTTGACTAGCCTTTAATCCCTCCGTTACTAGCTCCTTATTTTGGTAGTCATTGGGAAGCTGGGGTTGTTTCTTAAAATGCATTTAAATCGAGTCTGTGTGGAAATAAAAGAAATATTAAGCTCTCGGCCTATAATACCCTTATCATCTGATTCCACTGATCTTCTAGCCAAAACACTTAGTCATTTTTTAATTAATAAATATTAACAATATCCCACAAAGAGAAAAATTAACGAACAGTCTTCATGATAGCGGCTTCTTGCTCCTGCTCCTCAACTAGGAAATACAAAGACAGTAAAACCCGTAGAAAAAGTGGAGGTGCGTGTCCAACTAGTCAAGGACTGACGACCTTGTGATGATCAATATCCTTTAAAATATATCTTGCATGCCACAAGTGGCACTATTTGAACTTCATGGAAATTAACTCGGAATCCTTCCCTGAAGGAACCTTCTAAATTGAGAGAGAAACGACAGTTGTAGTTTCATAGTCACAATAAACCTTATAAAGTACATTGACTGGATTTCTGTTTCTGTGATTTATTGAGAAAGATAGGGCATTCTAGTTTTAGTGAAATGTGAAGATTTAAGGTCAGAATAGGAAACAATGGATGTGCGCGAAATACAAAGATAGTGAAACCTGTATCGAACACCTGTTTATAAAAGGCTTCCCAAATCGCAAAGGAAATTCTAATAATTCTTGAAGTATATAAAACCGATCACTACTCAATACTACTCAAAATACAAACAACGCGAGTAAAACCCAACAAAATACACGAAAACATGTCTAAAATCGACATGAAACAAATAATAATAGTTGCTGAATTAAGACGAAATAACTGATATAGTAGATCCACAAGTCGCTATAGACAAACATGAAAAGCATAAGTATGTTGAAGCATGCAGGGTAAGAATTTCAAAAAATGAAAATATATGAAAGGAAAAATCCGATAAGACAAGGTATAATAAACTCAACAAATAACAGATAAAGTGTTACTTTAGCAAATGCACCTAATTAAATAAAACCCTAAAAAAAACATTAAGAACCAATCGACAAGAACCTTGTAACAATAAACGAAATTTTAAACCCGTAGAAAATCATAAAATAGATAGTGTAAACGAACTTAGCAGATTCTTTGTTAACGTAATTAAAAAAATACAAATACAAAAATGCAACAGTAAAAACACTTTTTCTTAAATCGATCTATATCATAGAATTAAACAGATATATTACCAAACTTAATACAAAGCTACCGAGTCCGATGAAAATTCGGCATCGTTGCTGCACATATTCGATTGATGAGGTTTTGCAAGAAAGCAGTAGTGAATAGCCGTATTACTAGTGCGCTCTGTTAACATTAGCGAAAAGGTGCGGAAAAAATTGAGGCACCGACGCCAAAATTGGCATAAACGGGCCCCAAAAGACAAACAGTGAACTGTTCAAATTTTACCAAATTGGGCAAAAAGCAAAGACGGAAATCAGTGGGGCATAAATAAGACCGAGTGGCCTACGGAGATTGGGTGCGGTCGGCAGCCGACGTGGTGAGTCACGCTTACTCTGCAAGCCCAAAATAGCTTGCAAGCAGCAAACCGGCAACCGGCTCATATCGATGTATAAGCGTATAAGGTACAAGTATACAAGTGCAAATGCGCAAGCGTAAATAAAACACTGATATGAAAATATGGACAAGAACCGAATCGAATAAAAGGTCAGAAGAAAAAATTTACCGATTCAACAAAATAGTGAAGAAGGCTTTCATATCATAATGCTACCAAATGTTAATTATTGATCCGTTATAATCTGCGATCACTGAGAATATATAGAAAGTGTAGATACTTCTCTCATATCCAATGATTAATATATCTTTTCATTATTTAACGTTGTTTTCGGCTATTTAACTTTTTTCGTTAAAATCAACAAAAAAAAGTTAGAAGAAAAATGAACAAAAAGAAATTTACGTGAAAAAATTGCGTAGTCCAAATTTTTCCTAAAAGAAACTATTTTTCTAAGTAGCTAATTTCCCTGGATTATAACGAAAGAACAAAGAGCGAGAGCGAAAAAAAGCGACTTAAAGCTCTACCAATATCAGTGGTCAGGAAAAACAAATCACAGACTCAGAGGAATCAATAAAGTGCATTTAGTAGAATGCAAATCAATTACAAAAATTAATAAAATTATACATTCAGTCAAAGGACATAGAAACACACAAAATAGTTATCGACTTACTCAATGAATAGGAGATTAAAATACTTACTTATAGTCGGAAGTTTGGAAAGGAAAAGAATAAAAAAAGCCATCATCAAAAATATTTACACATTGGAGTTCAGATTTAGGTGAAATACAACAATAGGTCGAAAATAGAAATGGCTACGACATTAAGAAAGCAAGACCACAGTACTTTTTGTGATGGATGTAAAAATTTCAAATCTATACAATTAGACATAACAACAGACAAATACCTACAAAACCCGAAGGAGAGATAGAACCATCACTGCAAAGAATCTATCACTATCCTTGCGAACGCAAAAATAGAGATGCTTAACACATAAAGTAGGTGAAATTCGTATTGTAGAAAAAATAAATATGGAAAACAGACTACAAACGATAAATGGTAGATGCATTCAAGAAACTGTTGGAGGAGTGGTGATAATCGAACTTCGTTGGGAAATAAAAAAATTAAAACGTAATAGAATTCCAAGGATAGATGGCATACAAGCCAATGCAATCAAGAATGTGAGACCTGCATGCATGGTTCAACTCATGCATATTGTCAGCCACACCTTGAAACGAGGATGTATTCCAAACAAATGGAAGATTGGGGAACGAATTTTCATACTCAGAAAGGGAAAAGACCCCAAACAAGCCACTAGTTTTAGACCTATCACTTTACCTAATATTATGGAAAATGTTGCTGAAAGAATAATCTACATCTAAATAGATAAAATGTATCGAAGAGGTGATGCCGCATTTCCAACATGGATAAAAAACGGAGACTGCAATGCAACTTGCGAGAACTACTAATTGCATATGTGATGCAGTGGGAATGGGAATGCACGTAGCAATGGTAGTAACGGAGGCGCAGATAACAATAAATGCAATAACCGAATTGTATTGACACTAAACTCCGCGGAATTAACGATAGGCATCCTACCCATTTTTGACTTTAGCACATTAAAACAATATACAAAACTACAGGGCAGAGTGTTCTTCCTGGTATTGGTAGAATGCATACGATTCTTAACCAATGCACTAAACGAGAGATATCAGTATCTGATAACAGTATACAGATTAATGCAGGTTTACCTCATAAATAGAGCATAAACAGTTGAAATTGGAACTTTCAATATTGGTACACATGAAATCGCGTGCGGTACCGAAGGAGACCATGCTGAGCTCGCTGTTTTCATATCCAAAGGGGAAAGACCTGTTCTATTAAAAACTCACCGAAAAATAATTGCCCACGTAATTATCATCATCATAAGGTTTTCAGTCCTTGGTTGGACACGCACCTCCACTCTTTCCTATCCTGAGCTAATCTTCGCATTTCGCTAAAACTAGAACAACCCACATTCTTAACTATTTGCGAACGGTAATCTAATCTAGGCCTATCTCTACCCCTTCTAACTCCCTTTTCCGCTCTAATATGTCTCTGACTAGACCTTCATGCCTGAGAAAGTGTCTTACAAATCCATCTCGTTTATTTTTATTGACTTGCATAGAGCCCTCTGTTCTCCTATTCTTTCTAATATCTCTTCATTTCTAACCTCTATCCACGGTTTCCTCATCATTCGCCGGTAACACCACATTTCGAATGCTTCTTACCTTTTCCACCGTCCATGTTTCGCACCCGTATAGTAAATACGTAAGTATTAATAAATGATAATTATAATTATATTGCGATATTTTAAAAAATGAAAAATATAACTAAAAGTCTTCAAGGACCGTAAACATCTCATTCGAAGGAAGAAAATAATATTACAGCAAAAAAAATGTAAAATACTTTGAAATAATAACCGACAAACATTTAAACAGTAAAAGACATTTCATAAACCTTATAAAGAAACTACAACACCCTTCTTTAACGATGAAAAGACTCTGAAACCTTTCAACGCATCAGCTGCTTAATATTTACTACAGCATATTCGTATCAATTGCAGCATATGGAATAATCGCTTGGGGTATTTGTTCACAAAATGGAATTGCCAAACTTAAGCCACTATAGAATCGGATGATAAAGGCAGTGTATGAATTTCAAATCTGGTGATTCCATACATCTTTATTATATTATATAATCCTCATAGAACAATTGAAGTTAAGCGTCTTAAATGGACAGATTATTGTATGAAAAAAACATTTCAGATGACCCACCCTTTAGACAATGGGAGCATACATACATGATGTACGATACCAATTTCTGTGACATCAAACTATCTGAAATAGCACCACGATGCGACTACCTTATTACTAATAAAAACAATGAAGTTGATATAGTTGTGTAGGTACTGAATAATCATAATACTGAAAGATATAATTGTAGGATCAGTGCTTTAGAGGGGGGATGCAAAGCTCGTCACCGCCAAAGGGCACTAGATTTTACGGGCGTTTCTACGCTGTGTTTACAATGTAAACTGAAGAACATCCTAACCGTTTGTGAAGAAGGATGGGACACTTTGTTTTACGTTGAAATGCAAGCGCCGCTTGATAAGAATACATTTTTCCAGAAGCAAACGAGCTAGATTGTCGTTTTTTGTTTAGTCCGGTTATTATTATACTGTTATTATGTATTCAAAATGTTATCATTCAAATTTTTGAATATAACAAGAAGCAATACTTTTTCTCAGAAAAGATGTGCACTTTCCAGGGTAGTGGTTGACACAGGTTTTCGATTACCTAAGCAAAATCCTTGTTTGCCGGAGAGCTTTTTTCAGGGTCAGTCTTATTTTAAGCAACACTGTAATAGATAGTTTGCGTAACCACGTAATGTAGAACGTACCCTTACGTAAGAGCATTTATGCCGTAGATGTCTGTTTGGTACTTTAGTTTTATATGGCACCCTCGTACGTTGCAGTAGCAGACTGCGAAAACTTGATGATGGAAATTGAATTTTGCATTATACTAACCGAGAAAAAATGGCATCCATTTTAAGAAAAAGTTATACCTGCTTGAATTCGTGAATATTGGCACCGACAAATATCATACTATTTATAATGTATGTGTCTATCTAATACCTATAGATGATAGGCAATTTCTTCCAGAAACGGAAATTCTCTAAGTCCTTTCATTTCTGAGATATTTAATGTAGCGCCAAACACTGCAAACGTCAAATTTTCCAAGAAACGTGAAATAAATCAAGAACGGTGCAACCCAGATTCAGCACGTTTTAATAAATTGACATTGTGTTTTTATGGGGAATTCCAAAATGTAATAAAAAGTACGTTATTATACTTAACTCTATACAACTTCTATTTGAAATAATATAATCTATTTTGTATTTCTATTTCTATTTCTGTACTACACTGAAGTCTGAAAAGAATAATTTGCCAAGATGACGAATGCTTATTGTGGAGTACATAGTTTTCTACAGAAGTAATGCATAAAGCGTAGAACCTTGGGGAGGGATTCTCCTATTCCTAAGTTATTTTATAGTATTGCTTAAAGTAGTTTCTATTGAAACCACAGTTTTGATTTTAACAGTATGGAAAACCATAGTACAGCTTCAGCAGCTGACGAGGTAAGAATCTATATTAGGCCATAAAATTGAGGATCTTAAACGTAAGTCGTAATGCGTAGAATTCGGAAGGATGGGAACCGGTCGGTGGACGCCATCAGTGCAATTCGCCGTTTTCAGAATATGGTAGTAGCGGAAGTTCGGAGGTATACATGGGTGTATGTTGTGCTGTTTGTTTTTAGTTAACTGCTTGCAAATTATCAATTTGTTCCTGTTGTAGGGACAACGTAGGCAGTCGACTCCTGGAAGTAGTCACCGTAGCAACAGTAGTCAGCATAGTAAGAGTAGTAGTAAACGGGGAAGGGCAACGCCGCGTGCATCTCAAACTATGCCTTCGACGACAGTCAACAGTAGTTCCATTTCCCAGAGAGTAATAGCGCAGTGTGATAATGATGCTATTGATAATCTCCAAATGTTGTTTTTTAGCCACAGCTCCGTTTCATTTTTTCTATAGAACGGGACATAAACGTGTTGGAGGCTGCCCTGAACATCAATCCATTTCAGTTAGGGCGACCACGATGGAATATGGTAGCGGAAGATGTAAGGGAGCGATGGGGCTACGTGGTTTCTGCAAGGACTTTGCGCGAGCGAGTGGAGACGCTACTAAGAAAATTCAGAAATGAGGAACTGACATCAAAGTATATTGTTTAAGTGCAATTGCGGAAGACGGTGTACTATACTAGTTTCCGGTTTTACAGGAAGGGAACTGAGGAGCAACAGACACAGCGCGCAGCGTTGCTGACAGAAATCATAAGTATTGTGGAAGGAGACCAAGCTGCTATTAATGAAGAGAAAGGCGCCGAGGATGACCACACACCAGACGAAGAAGTTAATAGGAACAGGCGAAGGGAGGGAGCTGTTGCCGATAAAGAGAGGGAGGTTATTTTACAAGAAGCTTGTAAGTATACAATAGTATACTTAATAATAATTATAGCAATAATGATGTTCCCACTGACTTTGTGAAGATCCTGACGCGGCCCCTGAGCCCAGTACGTCCGGGCAGAAGCGGCAAAAGAATAACAAAGAAGAAAATTTAGTCGAATTAAAGTTGCGCCATGACATGGAAATGGAACGGCGGCGTTTTGAATTGGAGGCTGAGATAAGAAGGGCTGAAGTAAAAAACGAATCTAAACGGTTGCAGTTGGAGCTCGAAAGAGAAAAACGTTTGGCAGAAGACGCCGAAAGGCAAGAACGAATGTATAGCGCCATGCAGACTACACTTAATGTGGTACTGGAAATAGTTAAAAGAAAACAATAAACTGTTAATCTTACTTAAGAAATGTACTCAATATATTTGTACGGTGCAATGTTTTTTTTTTTGCTGTATACACTTCCAGTAGTTCGCTCATTGTTCCAAGTAAACTAGATCAAGCCATTCAATCCAATGGCTATACGTCCAGGAGATCAAACGTGCCCTTCATCCCAGGAGAACTGCGCCGGAGATACCTGAACTACCGCCCGTAGGTTTCGCCTCCCTACCATATATTAAAACGGTCACGCATTGGGAAGTTATCGAAGAGTCATAACATCAGAACCTTCTTCAAACCCACATAACAGCTACGAACCTTAATAAGATCGGCTAAAGATCCTAGAGACCCTTTAACATCCGTCGGTGTTTATAGAATCCCTTGTTACTGCGGAGCAGTCTACATTGGTACCACAAAACGCAGCATCAACACAAGAATAGTCAAACATGAACGCTGCTAACGCTATTAACGATTGGAAAATAGGAATGATAATGTGAAATCAATAGTAGACAAGATATCCAACTATAAATTTTAATTTCAATCTGCGTATGAGAGTATGGAATACATAATAAATACAATCATTCAGATGATAGACGCATGTTAAAAACTGGGAACAATATCTTCTATCAATAATTTCATCTTCGCTTTTAGTTCCGCAGTCTATAAATGTAATTGTCATGCACTTGCACGAATGAGTGAGAATATAAATGCTACACGGCTAGCTCAAGCGAGTCATGGGCGCCGCCATATTGGCCTTGGCTGCTCTGCCGAGCGCCTTTCAGTTTTACCCCTACTCCGCGGCCGGCTGTAATGCGACATGCGATAAATGGAGGCGACGAAAGCATTAAAATTTAAATTCGGTTTTTTTATTTTAATCAGTTTTATTTTATTAAAACCCTTGTCGACGATTGAATTTAAACAGCAACTTTGAGGTCAGTTTCCTGCAAATAAAGGATAAATAATAAAACAAACATTCGTAACAAAGTTTCTTCAAATTCTTTAAACTGCGTAAATCATGCAGAAAATTTCTGAATCATGGATTGTATTACCATTTAAAACTCTTTCGTTAATGACTCTTTATTTGGCTTTACGTGACATTCACTTTCAAAAAAAAAATTTTTGTATTCGGAAAATATTTACTTATATGAATTTGAAAGAATATCAGGATTGAAAATCTGTAACTTGACTTTGAACGCTTTGACTAAGTCAAACATTATAATGACTGTTTTTATTAACACCTTGCAGTTTTATATTTAATTCATTTAAGTGAGAGCATAAATCAGTGAAAAAATATAACTTTGCTAGCCATTCTACATCCAATAATTGATTGTATTGGTCAATAATGTTCTCATTATTTAGAAATAATCTTGTTTCCTCCAAACAATCTACAAATCTTTGCAAAACATTTCCGCGGCTTAACCAGCGTACATTATTGTATGAATATTGTACGAAGAGTTTAACAATTCTTGAAATTTTCTTTTATTTAGTGCTCGTGCTGATATAAAGTAGATTAATAATTTTTAATTCATTTCTATCAAAAAAGATAAAAAAATAATTTTGTTTGTGTGCGTGCTATCAAAATTTTCAAACGTGCCACTTGTGGCACGCGTGCCATTGGTTCGCCATCCCTGGTATAGATAATAACAGTACAACTAGAATAACAAATATGCAAAAACGAACATGAAACAAAATATATACAGTAGAAAAAAAAACAGATAAAGGCAAGAAATATATATATACAAAGATGAGAGTCTGAGCAAGACTAAAATAACACTGGTTAAGAACACACTCAAACTCTAAAACTGGCACTCGACGGCTAACGGCTGGGTGAAAGCAAAAAAAAACTGATGGTGGATGGTGATGGAACTCCTTCTTCCTTGCCGTGGGTCGGTGGAATATTGGAGTTGTTGGTACTGATTTTTTTTTAATGTTTTCGTGGAAGAGGGGAAATCTTCAAAAGACACCCAGCCGTCCGTACGACTGGGTAGTGTCGGATTCCCGTGGAAGATGTCCTCGGACCTACCGACCACCCCTCTACCTCAGACCGTTCTAGGACCAATCAAGGTCCTCTTCAACCGTATGTGTTTGTGTATTATGTGATTGTGGTTTTTATATTATGTGAATGTTTTGTGCACTGAAAAAAAACTTTTGGGTGTTTTATTCCCACCAGCCATTAATGCTGGTGGGCGGGCAGTCCCTCCGGACTATGCCGGAAGGCCCTATTCAGCCTGCTTTCAGGAATCGTGGGAATGGGTGGGTGGTGGTTCCGGTGAGAAAGATGAGACGGACGAAATGAAGACAATAGAAAGAATGAAAGATTATCTGTGGAATATTACTGCCCCAGCATTTGCCTAAGTGATCCAAGGAAACCACAGAAAAACTTGGCCCAAGGCAGACGGACCCGGAATCGAACCGGCCGGCGTCCTCCCGAATGCTAGGCAATGGTCTAGACCTCTAGGCCATGCCGCTCGGTGTGCACTGAGGAATACATGGTTATTTATACAAAACCCCAGTACAAAGCAAGGGTTGGGAAAAGAGGGGTTGAGAGTGGGATGATGGCGGGGTAATAAGAGAAGGGCGAAAGGTAACATTTAAAAACGAATTCGTTTTTATCGTTAATTTCACGGGAAAATATAAAAAAGAACTAATTATAGAAAACGACAGGCCGTGCATGAAAATATAGTGTTAAACAAAGAGCGGTTGTTCTACGATAAAAATTAATAAAAATAGAGAAAAAGAAAGGGATTAAGTGGGAAACTACAACCAAATAGCGGGAATAAAAAAAACAAGAGTAAAGCAAAATATAAATACGTTAGTGAATTAAAAATAGAAGATAAAAGTTGTTATTGTAGGTGTTTGGTTGTAACACGGGGTAGTTCAGGTAGGCGGCAAGGTAATGAGCGTAACTACGTCACGGGAAAACCTGTAGTTATAGTGTTCCAAGAATAAATTTCATAGCTAGTAGTCCACAACAATGTTACCAATTTAATTGCTTACATGTTGCATTTATAAGAGAAGTGTACATAGTAACTACCCATTAGAATATTTCGGAAACTACATCGATTCGATGCTCTTCTCAATTAAAATAACGACATCCATGTAGCACTTCCGATTATATCGCAAGCTGACACCAATCTCTTTATTTTAAACGGAACACCCCGTACATTATGACGGTTTTGAATTCTACTTATAATTTTAGATGCTTTTCTACTTCTAAAATTTACCGTTTTCGGGATATTAATTTTTTTTTAAATATCACAGAGCAGTAGATTGCCAAAAAGCCTACTTATGTTACAGCATATCCAACGATTAAAACGATTTGAAGAGTTCTTTGTAAAATATATGTTTGAAAATTCGGAAATGCCACGATACAGTAAATGACTGTATACCATCTTGGAGCCACAATCCTGGATCAGCCAATAAGGAACGCTGTGGTCACATCCTGGTCAGCGATCACGCGTCTAGGTTTGTTTTGGTTATATTTATCTCTTAAAAGAACCGACTTTAGATCTGAAAAGTAAAACTGAACCAAAATATCCAACTTAAAATTTATTTTATATCCTGATACAATACCATTTGAAAAATTAAATTTAAAAGTCCTTGAGTGGTTAAATTTTAATGAATTAGAAATGGAATTAGTTGAATTTCAGTCAAGTACCATATGGAACCAAAAATTTGTTGATTTGAGAAATGATTTAGAAACTACTCAAAGTAATCGATTATTGGATGAAATAAATAAAATTGCAGAAGATGAAATTTTAACTACATGGAATTCAATTCCTGACACGTTTAATTGTTTAAAAATATTAGCAAAGACAATTAAATCTCTATTTTCAGAATTAAATTTTATAAAAAATAAATATAGGAATAGAATAACGGATGAGTCGAACTCTGCATGCGTACTGTTAAAATTAACTAAATATGAACCAAATATTAAATCTTTATCATCTTGTGTACAGCAACAAAAATCACATTAAAAACAATTGTTTTTAACGTGAATTTTGTTTCTAGCATATTGCTTTTTGTAAAACATTGATTAATAAAAAATTGTTTAAAGAAGAATTGCTTTTATTTGTTTATTTAATTATACTTACGTATAGTTTCACCGCGCTAACATTTCGAATGAAATTTTATTGTGGCACGTTACCTATTTAAAAAGGAATTTTTATGACTTTGTGGCACGGACATCAAAAAAGGTTCGCCATCCCTGATCTATACAGTTAGGTTTAAGTATGTAACTAAACTATTTGAAAAAAAGCAAAGACATCAACATTATTGTGGAATTTTAGAATGGCACCGCCAATAAAGATATAAAACAAAGAATAGCGAAGGGTCGGGTCGGTTTCAACAAAAAAGAAATCAGTTTTGTGCTTGCAATCGGTTAATTTGAAAATTCGAGAAGTATAAAAGTTAAGTTTGGAACACGGCTCCGCGTGGACTATAGATGTGAAATTTGGACGGTGGGCGTTGCGGAAAAAATAAATTAACAGCGTTTACATGTTAAGAATATAATATTTAAATACGATGTTAATTATGTGCTTGAATAAATATTAAATGAGCATTAAATCCCTTATTCTCAGACTCATGAATAACAATAAAGACATCTGTATAGATTTTAAAAAATATATACCAATGTTTACGTGGATTTGCTCAGGATAGGAAAGAGTGGAGGTGCGAGTCCAACCAGTCTTAGGACTGACGACTTCATGATGATGATGATGAATGTTTACGTAAGCATAGGGGGATAAGAGCATTGCTTACTTTGGCTGACGGGGGGTTGGCTGTTACTAAAATTCTGCTTGCATTATTACGTATTTCTGATATAAAGTAGCAAAAATCCGGGTTCGAACGTCCAAAAAGGGCAGGTAGTTTTTACTCATATTTTTTTAACTCAGTATTGAGAACCTGTGTATTGTTTGGCCCAACGTTGCGGTAGGATATCAAAGTGTACACGACTATCACTTNAACTGTAGTAAAATATTTCCTTGGTTCATTTATTTATAACAATTACTAAATGCATATAAATATAATCAGATCTTCTGAAATTTACATAATACTAGACTGCAATGAGAGATTAGTTTCTCCACTTAGGACTCGATCTTTTAATTTCTGAAAAAAGGAAAAAGCATTAATAATGAATTAAAACAAAAATAAGCTTACACTACCTTAGCAAATACGTTCAACAATATACGATTGGCGTATTTAATTTGTTCATTTTTATTATCCCTCAGTTTTTTCTGAACCTCCGGTAAGTGTTTATATTTTTTATTTGTCATTTGTCTCATTTCAGCTGAAGTGAACAGCTTTTTCGGTTCTAAAACGAATTGTCACTTACTGCAAGTATCATCATCAATTAAGCAAAAGTTACATATCGTACTGTCATATTCCAATAATTAAATTTTCAAAATATTCATATTATCATATTTACAATTAATAAAAATAAGTTAATTATCTCTCATGCCTTCTGAATATGGTACATCAGAAATTGTTGGTAAGCGTATTGATTGCAGTAGTCCTTAATGTAATATTTTTTTGATTTTACTGTTCGCTATTAAATTGAAATTTCATTTTAATATAAATGTACACTGTCTGATAGGCATTCCGGAACAGTTGAAAGGTAACATCTGAATGCACTGCAGGGTACATCTCGTGATAGCGCTGCAACGTGTAAGAACTATGCGCGGTCGTGTTGTCGCCCTTCATTGTCGCAAGCGTCAAGTGACGAAACACGTACTCGTGACCTTCGCAGCAGTTGGTACGCAGATAGGCCAATTGCACTCCGTAGTTACGTAACACAAGAATAAGTTTATTTTGAACATATCAAGCAAATAACAATGTATTCGCACGCCAAATAATAGGATTTGGTGCTCAAATATGGACGGTGCTATGCGAATGTACTGGCGGGATGATACAGGAAATGTGGTACCGCACCGGAAACCGGAAGTCTACCTCAGCATGTAGCGGCGTAGCATTACAAAATTACGCTAATTAATGCTGATTCTCAGTGCCTGAGCAGTAGGAGTTTTCGACATGGTTATTACTCTCATGCCTATGTATATATGTTAGTGGGTGGTGCGAGATGGCTAATTCAATTTTTTACATATACATTCTTCTTCCTAAATTTTTCCGGAGTTTCTGGTTCAAGTGTCAGGTACTGAGGACGATTATTTTGAATTTACGAAATGTTTAAATAGAAAAAATAAATTAACAGCGTTTACATGTTAAGAATATAATATTTAAATACGATGTTAATTATGTGCTTGAATAAATATTAAATGAGCATTAAATCCCTTATTCTCAGACTCATGAATAACAATAAAGACATCTGTATAGATTTTAAAAAATATATACCAATGTTTACGTGGATTTGCTCAGGATAGGAAAGAGTGGAGGTGCGAGTCCAACCAGTCTTAGGACTGACGACTTCATGATGATGATGATGAATGTTTACGTAAGCATAGGGGGATAAGAGCATTGCTTACTTTGGCTGACGGGGGGTTGGCTGTTACTAAAATTCTGCTTGCATTATTACGTATTTCTGATATAAAGTAGCAAAAATCCGGGTTCGAACGTCCAAAAAGGGCAGGTAGTTTTTACTCATATTTTTTTAACTCAGTATTGAGAACCTGTGTATTGTTTGGCCCAACGTTGCGGTAGGATATCAAAGTGTACACGACTATCACTTAAACCACCGATAAATAAACATTCTCTTGTTTTTACTTATTTTCTTTAAAAAATCAAATACACAAGCATTTTATTTTTTGTTACTTTCGTTAGTCTTTTTCTAAAGAATTTATAAAAACAAAGAGTGAGTAAGCATACAGTATGTATATGCTTAATTGTCTTTTAAAGACCTTTTGATATAACATATCGATCTTTAAGTTGCCCTGGAATAGTACGTTACAATCGCGTTTTAAGCCGGCTTATAACTATAGGATATAATATAATATATATTATATCATCATGTAATTTATATTTTGAGATATAATAAATTTTTATTTTCTTTCAAAACATTAAAGGCAAGTCAGACCATCGCCGTACATATGTAATCAAATTAGATTCAAAATAGCTCCCCTATTCCTTCAAATGCATATTTAAAAATATTTAGTTTACTAGAATATCCAGGTTTATATGAATGAAAATAATAAATCGAAACTGAGGATTTACGTCAACTTCTATTTTAAAAAAATGTTTATCTGCCTAATTACTTACTTGAATCGTTTCTGTTAATTGAAGAAGCTAATGGAATTCCGTCAGTTAAGGCCAAAAGTTCCTTGTACTTCCGACGACACTGTTCTCTTATAATAGCCAGTTCGTATATGCATTTGCGTCTTTCTTCCGCTGATTGTACGAATTGGGGTCTATTTTTGTTTAAATACTCCTAGAAAGCTCGAAATTAAAAAAAAAACTATTCACAACACATTAATTTAATCTAGTGTAAATACGTAAACAAAACTTACATACAAAGGGACATTATTATCATCATACTCATACTCTGCAGTTTCATTTTCGTGGGTTGGCAGGTCTACAAAGCTACTTTCTTTTCTTTTTCTGTGATTACTATATCTGGCTTTCTTACTTTTCTTTTTACTATGAGGCAAAGGAAATTTAATTCTAATTTCTTGCAAAGGCCGTGTTTTCTTGTTTTTGCCAGAATTCTTATTATTTTCTACATTTCTATTAAGTTCACGTTCTTCCAGTATCAAAGTATAAGCAATAGGTAGTTTATGTTTATTTGTTACATTAGAATTGCTCTTACTTTGGTTTTTGTGGTCATAGAGGCATTTACAACACTCATTCTCCTCTTCAATTAGACGATTAAGTTTGGTTACAACATCCTTTATTTCAAACATAACGTTTTGGTCATCTTTGCAGCAGCAGATGGTCTTAGACGTACGGTCGGATTGGGATTGTTTCTCTTGCTTTTGATAATAACACTTATCATTTTCCCTGGACTTATCTTCTGAAGATACGTATGGCGTTTTTGAATCATAAGAACTTTTAATAGAAGTAACTTCTTCCGAAATTTCCTGTTCTGGATAATCCGACTGTGAGGAAATGCTTAACGCATCCAATGGAAAATTCTTATTTAATTTTTTGTCGTTTGTTAAATGATGTTCGCTATATGTATTCTCTTCATTATTTGCGTTATTTATACTTTTACTAATGTGTTTTGTACTTTCTGCTGATCCTTTCCGGGGCAGTTTCTTTGCTTCTTCTTTTTGTTCATTTCGTACAGGGACTTCGCTTATTTTATAATTTTGGTCAGCATTTTTTGAAGAGTTATTCTTATCTTTGAGCTTTTCTGGAACATTGTTGTGAATGTTTAATGTATTACGATTTAAAAGCGATTTAATTTCTTTTAATTCTTGTTCCTTTTGATCAATTGTTTTTTGCAAGTGAATAATCTTTTTTTGAAAATCACTCTGTGTTTTATTATTTTCAGATGAGCTTTCCGTAATAGTATTCGATTGAATTTTACCCTGTGTAGTGTTTTTATTACCATTTGCGAGTATAATTTGATTTTCTCCATTCAGTTTACACAAGTGTGGCGTACTAGATTGATTAGTTTTATACACAAAATTAGTTTTTCTAGTGGTAGCATCTTCATTTTTTTCGTGTAGATCTTTTTTAATAAAATTTGTGTTATTAGTCAAAGCAACTTTATTCATATTTGACGGTTTTGTACTAGATGAGGTAGATTGAGCATCAACAGTGTGAGAACGAGAATCATTTTCTGCGGTGTGTTTATTACTGCTACTTGTATTAGACGTTGAAGTTTTGTCATAATCTTTATGAGCTGAAGTACTTTCCTCAGATACTTCAAATGTATATCTTTTAATCAACGTTTTTTGGGAATTATTATTTACAATAGTGTGCACGGTTGTGGAAATAAGTTTGGCTTTTTGGATATCAAATGGCAGAGATTCAGAATTTACTTCAGTTAGTTTTTTAGATAATTCATTACATTCTGCTTCAGGACTTTGTTCTATCTCTGATTTATTATCAATTGTCAATTTGCGAATTACATTATTTAAAACCTTCAGATCCTTATCGTTAGAATTTAGAAGCTCTTCTTCTGTAATTAGTTTACTTTGAGGAAGCTTTCCAGTGGCTGAATCTTTTAATCTTTCAGTCGTTATTAGATAGATGGTATTCGTTTTTTGAGTTACACCTTTTTGTAAAGGCTTCACGTCGACTGTAGTTAAAACTTCAAAATTGTCTACATTAGCCTTCTTCCCATCTTCTGCGTTCTTCATTAGAGTACTACTATTACTATTGGTATCTTTTACTTCGTTGCTATCTACACAACTGCTACTTAAATAACCATTCGTACTTTCTAACAGATTTTTAAGCTTGCTCAGGTAGGCTATTTCACATTTAATCCAATTAAGTTGATGCAGTTTCTCGTTTTTTGCGAAACGTGTAACAGTTTCACTATCATTGTAGGAATCACTTGAGTCAGGGCATCTTGAAGACATCTTTTCTGCTTGTGTTTTGTCTTGATTCCAATTCCGTTCTCTATATTTTTCTGGAAATTTATACTTTTGATGTAAATTCGAAATGGAATGATGATTATCATCTCCTTTCCCTTTGACACACTTAGATTTTTGAACTTCATCGCTGACCATCGTATAATGACTTTTCTTTAACTTATCATAAGCCGAAGAAATTTTTTGATCCGTGCAAGGTAGTTCGGTTTTTTGATAGAATACTTGTTTTTCTTGTTCAACAGGAGCTACAATTTCATTCGAAAATGTTTGAAAATTGAGCGATTCTTTATAATCTAAGTTTCTATTAGGGCTTCTTACAATTGGAATCCATGGTTTATTTTGGTGCAAAAGGTTTCTTTTAGTGGCCCGTTTATGATTGGTGTTAGATATAATTTTAGTAGAATTTTCTTTTGGTGGATCACTTAAATCACTTGTTGAATTAGTGGGAGGAGCTAAATCAAAATTACTTTTATTTAAATCAAATTTTGGACTAGAAAAACCTTCAGTACTCTCATCTGAGCAATTCTGTTCGATAATTTTCTTAATAATCATGTTAATATACTGTCTCTTAGTTGTACTATCGTATTTTTGTGACTTTATTAACTTCTTAATCAAATTGATGCCTTTATTAACTTTTCCTGTTGGTTCTCCTGATTTTGAACAAATGTTAGTTTGTAAACGATTTACTTGTTCTGTTTTACTTCCTGATGGAAAATTGTAAGTTGGTGCTGATTTCTCTTCCATCATATTTTCGATATTGTCCTCTTGATTAGGATGGTACTCTTCAGCATTAAGATATTGAAAGCTTTCACATTTTGATAGAGAACTGGCAGAATTGGGCCGCGAAGGATAACTACTAGAAGGATTTTCTTTTATATCAAGTTCGTGCTCTGAATGGGTGCCCTCGTGCTTTTCAGAAATTTTGTTCTTTTTAGGATACATCTGGCTTAAAAATGCATCTGTTTGAACAAGTTTTGAGGATAGGTCTTTGAAGCTCGTTTGTATATTTTTATTTGAATATGAAATTTCTTCTTTGTTGAAACAATCCACGTAAATAGGTTTTGAAATCTGTAGTTTAAATGTTCGACCCTTATCTTTGTCTTTTCTAGACATTTGTGTGTATTCATTTTTATATTCCAAGCTACCATTTTTCTGTTTTTTTAATTTAGAAGCACATGTCTCTCCATAACTATCTTTATCAAAAGGAGTTGATACTGCAATAGGTGCGTCGTCATCACTTGAACTTAAATCGTGCAAATGTGGATGAATATCGTCTACCTTTAAAGATGAAGATGATGAAGATGGAATAATCTTGTTTTTGTGTTCAACAGGCGATTCATCCCCAGAACTTTCGGGTAACATTACCAAACCTTGGCTGTTTTGCACATTTAAGGGAAATCTAGACATTGCTGGTGGTCGTCGCTCTTGTTCTGTGCTGCAATTGATACCTTCAGGACTTAATCTCAGCAATTCTTCATGAATATTTACTTTACCCGCGCTATTTAATACTGGTAAGGAAAGACTTTTTTGTAAAATTTGCACATTTTTGTAACCAATATCTGCTCCATTGTCCCATTCGAGTTTGCGATTTGATGCCAGACTACTTGTAGGGCTGATTTCCTTATTTTCATTACCTGGTTTATTAATATCGAGACCTACTTCTTCGGTTTCAAACTGATTTTCACCTATGAATTGCGGTCTTGAACAATCAGCAACGGCTATATCTTCAAAACTGTGAGTTTTCTTAGTTTTAGAACCACGAAAATAACGAGAAAGATTTTCTGATTGTGAAAAATTATTAAAGTATTCCAAAACTTGGGAGGTAACCGTATTGCCACTGTTGCCTGAGTCTAAATTTTGATCTTTGGATGTATTAGCGTTCGGTTCCATTGTTTTTTCTGGAATTCACAAAGCCTAAAATAAAAATACCTACTTACCAAAAAAATATTCTTAATATTACATATCAATAAACAATAAAACAGTAATACAAGTAACTTTTCTGACACCATAGGCGGGTTATGAACCCCGAGACTATAAATAAGCAGCCCTGTAAAGAAATTGTTAGATTCTAATTTAACGCCGAATAAAACGTATGCTATTAAAAAGTATTTTTATTTACTCAAATANTGCTTAAGACGTTATTCTCTCAAATCAGTATTTAATATTCATATTAACTTTATTAATTTTATTAAGAGAAGTATTTTAACAAATACTTAAATAAGTTCTTTCCGTGTTACAAAGTGACAAACAACGACATCTAGTTGCGACAAGGAGACCAAGAAGAATTCCTAGTTTTGTTTACTTATGGTATGTTTCTTTTGTAATGGTAACAACAAACTGGCGACGAAGATGGGATACTTTAAAAAAAAAAACACTCAATGCAGGTACTAATAAAAAAAAATTGCATACTTGCAATAAAACGAAGTGTTTGTTTATCCAAAAGTAGCGATACGAACTCCGGAATTTCGTGAAAGTGCAATCTTCAATAAAAGATGAATAAATAATAATAAAGAAGCGCTCGTGCGCCTAGAAATCGCGACTCGCATAGTCTTTCGTTAGTATTTCACCCCTTGCATTTCGTATGGAAATCTCTAAACTTAGAGGTAGGGCTTCTAATTTAATTCTCATTAATTAATTTAATTAACAGAGTGGAGCAATGCAGAAAAGTTCATCATCATCATCATAAGGTCGCTAGTCCTAAGACTGGTTGGATACGCACCTCCATTCTTTCCTATCCTTAGCTAATCTTCGCATTTCCCTAAAATTAGAACAACCCACATCCTTAACTATTTGCGAACAGTAATCTAATCTAGGTCTACCCCTCCTAACTCCTGTTTCTGCTTCTAATATGTTTTTGACTAGACCTTCATGCCTACTAACCTATTTGGCCTATTTCTTATTAACTTCCATAGAGTCCTCTGTTATCCTATTCTTTCTAATACCTCTTCATTTCTAACCTTCTCTATCTACGGTATCCCCATTATTCGCCGGTAATACTACATTTCGAACGCTTCTAACCTATTCTTAATTAATTAACTAATTTTGACAAACATAAAATCCAACATTTCAATACCAATAAGTACGAAGAGGAATGTGAAGAAAATAATGAAAAAGATTTGAACCCCGACGAGAGCTCCAAAAATCCATCCAAAAAAAAAACACACCTTTTATTAAATTTAAAGATGACAGAAACTCCTACTAGTTCTGTATCAATATAGGAGTCGGAATATCTATTATCCTCTCAAATCTAGCAAAGGATAATAGTAAGATTAACGGTTACAATCTTAATTTTCAAGTAGTAAACCTCAACAAAGCAGCAAACGGAATAGTAGGCATGGACTTTATTAAAATACATAAAGCTAATATTTACTTTGAAAATAGGACCTTTCATGTAGGAAAGCGAAAATACCGCGTTCATGTATCAGAACCATAACAATATAGAAGTAAGGTGTAAACAAATTATTCGTTTAAAAACAGGACTAAAACCCGGAACCGAAGTTATCTTTAATAGAATAGATAAAGGATAGAGAAATATACTCCATTGTTTTGTTTTAAGGTAGGTAAATGCGGCATCATAACAACAAACTGTATAAATCTATCCGAGAAAGACAAAACTGTTGTATAGAGATGCATCTAAATCGTTAAAATAATGGTTGGATTGACAAAATTAATAACTTCCTGTCTGTCAACCTTTGAATGATCAGTTTGCACCCATACATACTCAAATTTCTGGTGACAGAAGTACAGTATGTGTAGTTGTGAAGTGATGTGATAATCAGAAAATTCAACAACAATTCAGCATATTTCAGCTGTTTTATTGTAATTCAGAGGATTTCGTAGTTTCTTGCTAAAGATACAATAATTGGTGATTTGGCAGATGCCAAGAACTTCAAAATTCCATGGACCATGAGATTGAACCAGGAAAACAATATCGATTCAATATTTTAGATTATCCATTTCCAAGGGGTTTAGAATTTTTCGGGCTCTCTTCAGTTAAAGCCTTAGAAGGCATTCATGGAATATCTCTTTGACCGGCCTTCCCGAACGTGGTGCATCTTCGACATCAAAATTGCCGAGATCGAAATTTAGCGAACCAGTTCTGGCACTGGCGTACTGTCAACACACCTTCTCCATACACATCAGTCAATTTCTTTCTGGCTTGAACAGCATTTTTACCCTTTCTGTAGTAAAACAGTAAGATATGTCGAAAATGCT